GTCATGTGATTCACTCTCAGCAAAGGAAAGCGAGGGGGAATGGTGGACGCCATATCCAGGCCACCATGGTTAAGACACATATTTGCCTTCTCTATTCTTACTTTCCTTTCTGCTGGCTGGACATAGAGGATGCAGAGGGCCTGGAGGATAATGAACCATGAGTGCAAGAAGCTGGGGTGTCTGAATTACTACATGGTGGAAGAACTCCCCCCTAACAGGGAACTCTGGCTTTGGGCTGCTCTTTGAGAGAGATATAAATTCTTTGTGTTCAACCACTGAAATGTGGAGGATTATCTGTTACAGCAGTGTATTAGTCAGGGTTTTCCAGACAGATAGGACCAATAGGTTATGTATATGTATGGAAAGAGATTCATTGAGATTTATTGTAAGGGATTGGCTCATACAATTATGAAGGCTGGCAAGTTCAAAATCTGCAAGGCAGTCAGCCAGGCATGGTGACATGTGCCTGTAGTCCCAGCTACTCGAGAGGCTGAGGCAGGAGGATCACTTGATCCTAGGAGGTCACAGCAGCCATGATCATGCCACTGGACTTTAGCCTGGGTGACGGAGTGAAATTCTGTCTCAACAATCAAACAAACAAACAAAAATCTGCAAGGTAGGTCAGCAGGCTGAAGACCCAGGAAAAGCTGATGTACAGTTCAAGTCCAAAGACCATGTGCTAGTAGAGTTTCCTCTTGCTAAGGCGAGGTGAGACCTTTGTTCTATTCACCCCTTCCACTGATTAGATGAGACCGACCCACACCATGGAGGGCAATCTGCTTTACTCAAAGTTGATGGATTTAAATACTAATCTGATTCAAAAGCACCCTCACAAAAACATCCAGACTAATGTTTCACCACTATCTGGGCACCGTGGCCCAGCCAATTAACCATCCCAAGCAGCTAACACTTCCTTTATTTACACCAAGATGTGTTATGCAGAAATGTCATTTTTCTCACTCCTTTGTCTTCACTCAGAGGCTATTCCTACCCTGGTAAAGACGTTATTTTCAAGGTATATTGAATACCTCAAACTTTCTACCAAAATATAATGACTTGTTTGCAAAAGTCCTGGAGAACAGAGGATAATCATGACATTGTGTAATCCATTATGTCTGCATAGGAAAGGATATGGTCACCTGGGTTTTATTAAACTATTTCTGTCTCTGCCTAGAATCAGAATCAGGCAGTGAAGATTACCACCAAGGAGCCTGCCCCACGTTTCCATTTTCAACAGAAATAAATGATGGGTTATTCTTGTAGCGAGTGCCCTTTAGAGTGAGGTTGTCTGACTCCTGTTGTGTTCACTGTTGTGCCTCTCATGTCTTGATTCTTATGATGAAGTTTATAAGCAGGGTAGAACAATAGGACTGAAAAGAGGACGGCTATAAACCAGTACCTTAGGGAACAACTAGTAAAATTAACTTTCTTACCTTTGGCAGCAAAAAGGGGCACTCAGAAGCTACATCTCCCCTGCCCCTTGACATGTTTTATAAGAAGTGGAGGGGAATTAGTATTATTTCTTGGCTCTAACAATAAAACTAAAAAGTTTGCTAAAACCAGCATTCTGGTCAATGCCCTATAATAATCTAGGTAGCTTTCTACCCTCTTTATGAAGCCCACCCTTACCACTCTAGAACTCTTTATTTCTTTTCTTTCTTTCTTTTTTTTTTTTTTTTTTTTGAGATGGAGTCTTGCTCTGCCGCCCAGGCTAGAGTGCAAGGGGGCAATTTTAGCTCACTGCAACCTCCGCCTCCCAGGTTCAAGTGATTCTCCTGCCTCAGCCTCCCGAGTAGTTGGAATTACAAGTGCCCACTACCACACCCGGCTAATTTTTGTATTTTTAATACAGACAGGGTTTCACCATGTTGGTCAGGCTGGTCTCAAACTCCTTACCTCAGATGATCCAGCCTCCTCAGTCTCCCAAAGTGCTGGGATTACGCCTGGCCAGGACTATTTATTTCACAGGCATTTATTCACAAATATCAATCGAGCATCTACTGTATAGTGCTGTATAGCACTACATCAGGAATTGTGAAGAACTCAAAAAAGCACAAGTTGTGGTCTCATACATCTCAATAAATTCAAGATATAATATCCACGTACACTAACTTTGTGTGTGTGAGGGTGTATATGCTTAAAGAATAATGCTATTCTGCTTTTATTTATTTATTTTATTTTTTGAGTCACTGTGTTGCCCAGGCTGGAGTGCAGTGGTGCAGTCACCGCCTACTGCAGCCTGGACTTCCTGGGCTAGGCGATCCTCCTGCCTCTGCCTGCTGAGTAGCTGGGACCACAGGCACACACCACCACATCCAGCTAATTTTAAAAATTATTTGTACCCATTGGGTCTCTCTATGTTGTTCAGGCTGGTCTCAAACTCCTAGGCTCAAGCAATCCTCCCACCTCAGTGCTGGGATTACAGGCGTGAGCCACTGCACCTGCCCAAGTCCAGGAGGAACTTTAACCCTCTGTGTTCCTCCTGGACTTTCTTTGTCTAGGATATCTGAACACTGTCCATGGCTGGTAGAAGAGGCTGGTTTTATAGATCCCTTACCTTGAAGGCCAATCTGCCTCTCTGATTTCTTTTTAAAAATCCCTTTTTCCTCTGAATTGTAATGGAATTACATAACCACTACGGAGGGGACCTGGGACAGGGACAAGAGGAGACAGGGAGATCTTCTCATTTGTTGGGTAGAGTAGGAGTGTCCGGCAGCCCAGGGGACTGTGGGCCCGGTCTACTTCCTGAGAGTCCCTCCCTGATTCTAGAAGGAGGCCAGGGCAGACATGGCATGAGGAGGAAGCCTGTTGACTGGTTAACTTGCAAAAAATCTTAGCAAGGTGCCGGCGCGAATGCACCCTGAGACTTCCTGCTTTCACTATACAGTGCAGCTCTCGGTTTATTTATCAGATTGAAAAGTTTGTTTGTTTATTTATTTATTTTAGACAGAGTCTCACTCTGTCACCCAGGCTGGAGTGCAGTGGCGCCGTCTTGGCTCACTGCAACCTCCGCCTCCCTGGCTCAAGCGATTCTCCTACCTCAGCCTCCAGAGTAACTGGGATCACAGGCATGCACCACCACGCCCGGCTAATTTTTGCTTTTTTTTTTTTAGTAGAGACAGGATTTCACCATGTTGGCCATGGTGGTCTCAAACTCCTGGGCTCAAGTGATCTGCCTGCCTTGGCCTCCCAAAGTGCTGGGATTACAGGAGTGAGTCACCGTGCCTGGCCTGGATTGAAAAGTTTAGAATGAGGTTTAGGTGCTTTTGTTGCGTTCGACCTTCAGTAATTCCTCTAGGCTAGGCTTCAATCCCAGTAACCAAACTCACCAGTCCTTGCTCCCAAATATAACTGCTAGTTTTCTCTTCTTTTTTCAAGCCGAACCTCAAAGAGTTAGCCTGGCAAGGCTGGAGAAGGGTGAGATTTCCCCTCTTGTCACATAAACAAGGAAGTAAAGGAGGCCCTTGTGCTCTCAGAACTCCAAGCATGAAACAATGTGCGTTAAGCATTTAAATCACTTGTCTGGGATGAAGCATAAAAAGTTTGATTTTTTTTTTTTTAAACCAATTAGGTTTGAGCCTTCATGATACATTTTGGGACCTGTGGTTATCACTGCAATTACACTTCAATTCATGCGTTGGATGCTTTGAAAAGGTTTAATAAACAACAATAAGAATATCAGCTGCCATTTATATCTATGCTCCTGGCACTGTCCCAGGGGCTTTAATATGGTACCTATAACCCTTCCAATTATTCTCATTTTAGAGTGGAGATAACTAAGACACAGAGAGGTAAAAAACAAGCAAACAAAAAACCTGCCCAAGGACACACGATAGATCAGAGGTAGGCATGGTGGCGCACGCCTGTGATCCCAGTTAATCTGGAGGCTGAGGCAGGGTTCACACTCCGGGCTCTTGGCTTACCGAAGTTCTCTTCGTTTATTCCACTATCTCATAAGAAAAATGAAGCAAATCAAGTCACACTTCAAATCGACTGAGGAGATTTTGCTGTAGAAAGGAATCTGGTAAATCCCTTCATCAAGTAAATACTACTTTGTGTGTAAATCTGGACTTATATAAAGTATATGTTTTTTTGGCATGGTTAAGGTGAGCTACCATGTTCCTTTCCAGAAAGTAAAGACGGTTTAAGGCATATGAAGGAGGCCTTTGTTCATTGCTTTGATGGATACTTATTTAGTGCTCCTCTGTGGGAATGCTAAGATGAGAAAAGCAGACGGTCCCTGTCCTCAGGGAGCATATCGTTTTTCACTACCCCTTATTATTGGGTTGCTAAAAAAGAGAATGTCTATTTTATTTAAGTGAGTAGTTTTAAAAACTTCTATTTTCTGCTTATCACAGTAATGCATCGCATTAAAAACTGTAAAAAAACCAAACATTATAAGAATGTATAATACAAAAAGTTAGTTTTCAGTAGTGCCAGCCCCAAAGAAACAAGCACGGTTACAGATGAAAATTTTAACCATTAAAACTCTTCCTCCAGAGGAGAAACACAGAATACCAGCTAGTAATTTCCCTGTCCTGGCTCCTGCAGCCCTTCAGGACTTGGAGAATTTTTTTTTTCTTTTTTTTTTTTTTTTACTGGGCGGCTCCTGACCTTGGGGCAAGCAGAAACACAGCTGAAAGTAAATATGAAACAAAACTCTGGCCATGGGGCCTGAGAAAGGCTTTTTTCCACTGCCTTTTAAATGTATTTTCATGAAAAAACACCAAAGACATTTAAAGTTAGGATTGTTCTAGAAAATCCTGGATAGATGGCTACCAGATGTCTATGGGGAATCAGGGCACACCACAGTAAACACTCAATAGATATTTGCTGAAGGGAGGAATGAAGATTGTACTTATATTTAGAAAATTAAAACAACGCTGAAATACATGCTGGACTTCATAGGTTTTCGATTTATCTCCTCCTTTTTTTCCCCCATGCAGAGCAAAGGGAAAAATAATTAAGTGTTTCCTGGCTGAATTTTATTTTGCTTTCAGTTTCTGCCATTTCAGTTCCTGTTATCATGCTTCGAGGTGCACTGAACTGCAGCAAACCCAGGGGATCCAAAGCTATGTTGAAAAGCCTTTGACCGCAGTGCAGGGAGCAGAAGACATTAATGACGTGATGTCGACACAGCCCGCACTCAGGATCCTCCAGGAGAAGAACACAGAGATAACCCCGGATCAATGGTACTTTTTGAAAATGCTTTACTGTGAAAGAGTGGCTAGGGTTTTACAAGGGCTATGAAGAAACATATTTAGGTTAATAAAGCTTTTTATTGAGTGTTTACTGAGTGTTACTATGTGCTTTACATCTATTAACTCACTTCATCTTCAAAACAACCCTATAAAGACATTACAACTATAACCCTCACCTTACAAATGAAACAACTGAGGCACAGTGAAGTGCAGTGGCCTGCCCAGGTGAGAAGCAAGACAGAATTTGAACCCAGGCAGCCTGACCCCAGGGTACAGGTATTAAGCCACTCTGCTATAGTGCCTCTTAGATGACAGAGAAACTTGATGAATTACTGGGTTACTGAATTTTAGTTTGCATAGGTTGTTTTTTTCCCCTTAAGAGTAGAACAAAACATACCTGAAGTATTGAGAATAACATTTATTTTATTTATTTATTTGCTTGAGATGGAGTGTCGCTCTGTTGCCCAGGCTGGAGTGCAGTGGCACAATCTAGGTTCACGGCAACCTCCGCCTCCCGGGTTCAAGCGATTCTCCTGCCTCAGCCTCTGAAGTAGCTGTGATTACAGGCATGTGCCACCACGCCCAGCTAATTTTTGTATTTTTAGTAGAGAGGGGGTTTCACCATGTTGGCCAAGCTGGTCTCGAACTCCTGACTTCAGGTATCCACCTGCCTTGGCCTCCCAAAGTGCTGGGATTATAGGTGTGAGCCACCGCGGCCGGCCAAAAATAACATTTAAAAAAGTTTTTTGGCTGGGTGCAGTGGCTCACGCCTGTAATCCCAGCACTTTGAGAGGCCGAGGTAGGGGGGATCACCTGAGGTCAGGAGTTCGAGAACAGGCTGGCCAACCTGATGAAACCCTCATCTCTACTAAAAATACAAAAATTAGCTGGGCATGGTGGTATATGCCTGTAATCCCAGCTACTTCAGAGGCTGAGGCAGGAGAATCACTTGAACCTGGGAGGCAGAGGCTGCAGTGAGCCAAGATTGTGCCACTGTACTCCAGCCTGGGTGACAGAGTGAGACTCCATCTCAAAAAAATAAAAATAAAAAATAAAAAAGCATTTATGCTTTGTTCTTATTAGATCTATGATTTGTTCATTTTTTGCAAAATCATTTATTGAGTACCTACTATTTGTATAGCAATGTGCTAATACCTGTCAGGAAAATAAAGGCAAGTAAAATATAATTCTATCCAGTAGTGTTTCCAGTGAGTTTTGGAATCTCACATATGTAGGTTTGAATCTCAGTCCCACCACCTACCAGCTGTGTGACTTCGTGCAGATTTCGTAACCTCTCTGAGTTCAGTTTTCTCTGATCGTAAATAGGGACAAAAGCAGCTCTCTTACAGGACTGTCCCTACAGAGTAAATGTGCTAATGTTGTGTAGAGTGTCCTGAAACATGGTAGGCACACAGTAACTATTAGCCAGGATCTATGAGGGAGATGAGACACAGACAAAACAAATGATGGCCGGGCACAGTGGCTCACACCTATAATCCCAGCCCTTTGAGAGGCCAACATGGGGGTGGATCACTTCAGCCCAGGAGTTCAAGACCAGCCTGGGCAATATAGCAAAACCTCTCCTCCACGATAAACACAAAAATTAGCCAGGTGTGGAGGTGTGCACCTGTGGTCCCAGACACTCAGGAGGCTGAGGTGGGAGAATTGCTTAAGCCCTGGAGGCAGAGGCTGCAGTGAGCCATGATCACGCCTAGGCACTCCAGCCTAGGCGACAGAGCAAGACTGTCTCATAACAAATGACTTCTCTATGGGACAGTCCAATGGGAGCTATAGAAAACCAATGGGAAGTAAAATTGGATGACTTATGCCCTTGACTGCAGGAATGCAATCACCATGGGTGATGGGAGGATACATGGGGGAATGGAGGCGGGGATGGAAGCCCTGCCATCCATGTTTACTAGCTGCAATTAACCCTGGGAGTTTTTTTAACCTCCAGCAGTCGGCTTCCCTCTGAGTTGTGGGTTGGTCCCAAAGATGCCAACATTTATTCCAGTTATAAGTTCTATTTTAACCAAATTTCTGGTCTCCATCTTTCCTTGGAGAATCACACAAGAAAGGAAATAAGACTGAATTTCTCCACAAATAAAATGATGTCATTTTTTCCACAAATAAAATGATGTCATTTTTCTTTTCTTTTGAATTCCATTGATAGGCTAAGCATAGAGAATAGTCAACTGCTAGTGTCAAACTGGTAGATGAGAAGCACAGCACATCAAACCAAAACCTCAAGGTGTAGGAATCTTTTTTTTTTTTTTTTTTTTTTTGAGACAGAGTCTTGCTCTGTCGCCCAGGCTGGAGTGCAGTGGCGCAATCTCGGCTCACTGCAAGCTCCGCCTCCGGGGTTCACGCCATTCTCCTGCCTCAGCCTCCTGAGTAGCTGGGACTACAGGCACCCGCCACCGCGCCCGGCTAATTCTTTGTATTTTTAGTAGAGACGGGGTTTCACCGTGGTCTCGATCTCCTGACCTTGTGATCCGCCCGCCTCGGCCTCCCAAAGTGCTGGGATTACAGGCGTGAGCCACTGCGCCTGGCCGAGTCTTTTTTTTTTAATCAAAATTATGCAAATAACAGATGAGGCTGGGCACGGTGACTCACACCTGTAATCCCAGCACTTTGGGAGGCCGAGGCAGGCAGATCATGGGGTCAGGAGTTCGAGACCAGCCTGACCAACATGGTGAAACCCCGTCTCTACCAAAAATACAAAAATTAGCCAGGTGTGGTGATGCACACCTGTAATCCCAGCTACTTGGGAGGCTGTGGCAGGAGAATCACTTGAACCTGGGAGGCAGAGTTGCAGTGAGCTGAGACCGTGCCATTGCACTCCAGCCTGGGCAACAGAGGGAGACTCTGTCTCAAAAAAAAAAAAAAAAAGAAAAAAAATAACAGATGATTACCTGATCAGGGAGAAAATTCAAATATACAGAAACCCATGTTCAAAAACATTAGAGTTCTTCATTTCCCTAATTTTATCTCCTCCACGGGGTATGTATAAATTTAAGTGAATAAAATGATTTTAATAAAGTCAATTTTAAAAATTAGCTTCTGCTCTAAAAGCCAGAATGACAAAATTTAGCCTTAGTTTGTGTTCTTGTTATCATTTATTCATTGATAGGCAGTATCTCTTTAGCTCTCATAGTAGTCAAGCTGTTATCTGAGTTCCAGGTACTATAAATTGTGTATTTTTTTCTTTCTTTTTTTTTTTTGGAGACAGGGTCTCATTCTATTGCCCAGGCTGGAGTGCAGTGGCATGATCATGGCTCACTGCAGCCTTGAACTCCTGGGCTCAAGCTATCTTCCTGCCTTAGACTCCAGAGTAGGTGGGACTACAGGTGCACACTACCACTCTTGGCCATTTTAAAAATTTTTTTGTAGCAATAGGGTCTCACTATGTTGTCCAGGGTGGTTTTGAATTCCTGGCCTCAAGTGATCCTCACACTTCAGCCTCTCAAAGTGCTGGGCTTCAGATGCTACCATGCTCACTCTGTGTAATCTTTAATAGCTTCGCACAATAACTCAAAAGTCAGTTGTTCTCTCTTTAATGCTTTGGGTAAGATGCTGTGGAAAGTCGGCCTAAGAATTAGAATACCTTAGTTTTAGTTAGGGCATTTGTGACCAGCCACCTGTGGCTTGGAGTATCTTTGGTCCTGTGTCCTCACCTGCTAAAAATTAAGTAAGGGTGTCCGCTTATAGACCTTCTATTTCTAAATTCTGTGTTTTCACATCTCAGTTTTGTTTTTCTGTTGTTGTTTTTTGAGATGGCCTGGCCTGTTGCCCAGGCTGGACTGCAGTGGCATGATCTCAACTCACTGCAACCTCTGCCTCCTGTGTTCAAGAGATTCTCCTGCCTCAGCCTCCCAAGTAGCTGGGATCACAGGCACGCACCACCACGCCTGGCTAATTTTTGTATTTTTAGTAGAGACGGGGTTCCACTGTGTTGGCTAGGCTGGTTTTGAACTCCTGACCTCAGGTGATCTGCCTGCCTCGGCCTCCCAAAGTGCTGGGATTACAGGTGTGAGCCACCGCACCCAGCCTTACATCTGAGTTATTAACTTCTCTTGATGGTACTCAAAGAAGAAGAAAAATATCCAATTTAAATTATTTTTCTTTTGCTGACTGCAAGCAGAATTAGCTTATTTGTGCTTTTGCAAACTCCCACTCCTATGGTTCTGTCTTTTGTTTCAACCCCATAATGGCTATTTTGTATCTTAAACTTATATTCACATGATTACATCTGATTTATTTTGCATGTCAGTCTAACCACTAAGCATATGTCATCACATTACTTAATTTATAACAGAACATAAATTTGCTGTGTTGGCTCCTTTAGTTAAAATAGAATCTAGTAATTTATAGTCACCCACAAAGTAATTCACAGTGAAGAATACTAAATAACAATTAACAATGGCCAAGAGGCTCAGGAGAGAAAAAAATTCAAGGCAGATTTCTGTTAAAAAAAAAAAAATCATTTTCTTAAAAAAAAAAAAAAAAGGTACTATTCCTGTTTTCTATCTTTTTTTCCGGCATTCTGCTGTCCTCAGAGACAGGTTTTTGTTTTGTTTGTTTTTGTTTTTTATTTTTGAGACAGAGTCTCGCTCTGTCACCCACGCTGGAGTGCAGTGGTGCCATCTCAGCTCCCTGCAACCTCTGCCTCCCGGGTTCAAGCGATTCTCCTGCCTCAGCCTCCTGAGTAGCTGGGACTACAGGCGTGTGCCACCACGCCTGGCTAATTTTTTATTTTTATTTTTATTTTTTTAGTGGAGACGGGATGGTCTCAATTTCCTGACCTTGTGATCCGCCTGCCTCGGCCTCCCAAAGTGCTGGGATTACAGGCGTGAGTCACTGTGCCTGGCCACCAGAGACAGTTTTATACTCTTCATTTTTGGAAGAGTCCCTCTCTAAAAGGCCTCAGAATCTTTTAGCATCTTTTTGCAGGGGGAGAGGGGAAGGTATCCAGAGAATCTAATGAAATCTATAGCTTGTCTTCCAGAAAATGCATAGATACACACAAATCTCCAAAGTCATAGCCATTTCCGTGGACTCCAGTTTAAGAATCTCTGGCTTAGAAGTTGG